GACCCGGGGGGGGGGGGGGGGGTGACATTTGTACTTGAGCACATGAAAATATTGATGTGAAACATACACATATCATACATAACATAAATATAAATGATTTATGGTTATTATTACTATTAGTAGACTACTACTACAGATAATTATAATGTTATTTAATAATTAGTAAACAAGCACAGTCATTATGAAATTGATATGTGCAATAATTTTTCACCCAGAGCAGTTTTCTTAACAGTACTTATAGCATTACTAAATATTTATTCTCAAGGTACAAACAGCACAAATAAATTTGTCCAGTTTCATCTTCTTAGATGAAATTAGTTCCTTATCATTATGAATGTTTTTAGTAACTGTTTAAAAATTCATCACACATATTTCTGAATACTGCATGCAACAACGCGTAAAAGTATCATGAATCATGAATGGTATTTTATTTTAAAGGTAAGTGATGCACATTAAAACACATTAGGATGCTCCCAGTCCTGTGATGCCACTTGTTGACTCAACCCAACTCAACACGAATATAATCTAACAGTATTAAATTGTCGTTGTTTAAAAGTAAAAACGCAATAACTTTGACTAAAATCCCTAGAATACACGAAAACAGCCCAAAGGATTATGTGAATTGTAAATCTGTTTTCTCTTTCCTTCACTTACCCCTTTTCTCTGTCGATGTTTGTAGAAACGAACTGTAGCGGGCTAGGCCCAAATCTGTTAATGTTTTAATGACTTAATTTTAACATTGTTTCATAGTTTAAAACAGAAAAGACTCTCAAGGACCTCCTGGCTGTGATGGTAGACAAGAAGATGACTGATAACATTAACTGGAAATCTGATAAATAACAACGGAGATTCCCGTCCCCTTTTTTGGGGGAAATCAAAAAAGAGCGTACAACATGAATGCATATCACGGCCCACTGGAGCATAGCTGGAGTCGCCCGTGATAGATATATATATAGATAGGTTAGTTGCGTATCCTTTCCCTGGCTGTTGTGTGGTTTTTCTAGGCAAATTTGCGTCCAGTAATATATATATAATAAACAAACAGTGTATCAACTGGCACTCATAGAAAGAAATAGAAAGATAGAAGAACACACCAGACAACATTTAAACAAAATCGAAATTTGTACTAATTGCAGGGAATCGAACCTGTCATCTCCAAATGGCATGTGTGCTCCGCTGTGGAAACAAGTGTACTAAGAACATGACCAACTGAGCACCACTAATAAGAAGGTGTGTTTTTTGGCAATGTCTATCGTACAGCTTAAATCCACAAGTGCGGAATACGGACAGAACCAATCTCAAACCATTGAAATGGCCATAAGTTAAAGAAATTTATATTAACCAAGCATAGGCCAAATAACAAACACAGCAACAGTTTTACAAACACATATGTTTGTAAAACTGTTGCTGTGTTTGTTATCTGATGTTTTACAAACATATGTGTTTGTTATCTGATTTACGAGAAAAATCAGATACTAAATAAGCCAGTGGTGTTTCCCAGCGTGAGGCAACGGTGAGGGGGGAAAAAAAAGCGGGGGGGGGGGGCGGTCTTTGATTTCCCGTCAGATTCATTTACTGGGTTTGTGGGTATTCTTCACATTGAATAAACAGTAAGTTTTTTTTTTCATTCCGCTCTAACTCGTGCAATGTTTTTTTGATGTTTTGTATAGAATCTAATCCAGCAACTTTGATCTCCTCAAAGTTTTTCTTAAACTTCCTCTTTCACTGGGATAACAGAGATCCTCGCTGGAGGTACAGAGTTCACAATTTGTGCAAAGCTTTCGACAGGCCGCTAACCTTCTGCTCAGAGAGTCTGAGTTATACTGAATAAAATGAAGTGCAATGAAGGCGATATTCTTGACTGTGACGACCTCGCTTTGTCTGTTCAATTGGTTCCCCCTTCATTGCCTTTATTATTTTATTTAAATACTCCTTGTCCCCTTTATAATATAATTTATTTGTTTATTGTCCAGGTTTTCTTCTCCATTTTGCAGGGATGAATATTTCTAACATTTTGTTTTGAATGTTTTACTTGTCTCAATAGTTGTTGATATTTTCCAGCATCCTGATGAAAGCATTTTTGGTCATTACTACTGTTTTTTTCTTTGGGGGGGGGGGGGGGGGGGTTGGAGGGCGAGGAGCCCCCACCCTTTCAGCAACAACATGAGAAAGATACTGACATATATCCTAGTGTGGGTTCTGAGGTCTTATTGTAGGGAAAACAAGAATAGACCCACTGCCTCCCCAGCAAGCATGTCGTATGAGTTGAGTAACTGGAGGTTTCTTTGAAGTCAGAGTGTATCTGCCTGAGAGGCAAGGAGCCAGCAGTCTGCTTACAAATGAGTCAGATCTGTGAAATGGATGCACACACAACACTCAGGTTCTGGAACAGGACTAAAGTTCAAAAGTGGATGAACAGCCAGAACTTATCGCCAGAGTTCACAATTGCTGAATGCGAAGAAGAAGATAATAATATATACACAAATAAACAACACATTGAACAGAGAATTCTCAAATGATGTGCATACCTAACTCCATGATATGTTGCAGAAACGTGAACAGTCTCTTTACAGCCATTCAATTTTGGTTGACACAAAATCAGTTATCACAGTCGATTGACACAAAATCGCAACACCCAGCACTTACATTTCCCACATTTACTTTTTTTAAAAAAAGGAAAAATAACTCTCAAAAATGCTTGGAAGCTTTTATTGTTACTGTCAGATAAATAACTGAAACACTACAGCAGTTCAAGCAGACAGTAAAAAAACACGAATGTTAAATGAAGCAGCACAGATGTTAAAATACTGCTGGAAAAAGTATGTGGTCAATGAGATTGCTCAAGAATGAATGCAAAATGTTGAAATTGTTAAGCAAGAAATAACTATAAAGGTAAAAAGGTTCAATAATTAATGGATTTACAAAATTGTCATGCAAACAACAAGTCAGAGGGGATAAAAAAATAACTGAACTCTCTTCCCACCACAAGTAGCATTTGTTTTCTCTCCATACGAGTTCTGAAGCTCAGCTGCGCAAGACAAGAAAACACCCATTACCCATTTTAAGCAAATACTAGAAGAACAACAATGATGAGTTTGCTGGAATCAGATTTGGGCATATATCACAGCCTAGCTGTAAACCACAAAACAACATATCAATCACAAGTTAAGAGCAAATGCAAAAAAAAAAAAAAAAAAAAAAACATTTTCAAAGAAATAATATACAATCCAGCTCTTAGGATTCTTATTATGCATATAGTATTTTCAAGGTACTTTTTTATTATCTTTCAGTTGAGTGATTAAAAGTGTTAATACTTGAAATCAAAATGTACGAGTATTATATGTATATGCCATAAAAGCTGAGTTGGAGAGAGAAGAAAAACTGATGGGAGGGGGAAGAATTTACCCACTGCTCTATAAAAAGCATGTCATGCAAATAGACTAATTTGCGGTTTCTCCTTTGAAATGGTAGTGTATCTGTTTGTGAGGCAAGGAGCCAACATTCTGCATACAAATAAGGCAGATCTGTATAACAGATGAGAACAAAAAACTTAATTTATGGAATAATGACAAAGTCCACATATGGATGAACAACCAGAACTATCTATCAGAGTTTTACAGCTGGTGAATATAAAGAAGATGAAAAAGAAAAAGAAGAAGATGAAAAAGGAGGAGAAGAAGAAACAGGGGGAAACAACAAAATATCAGTTAATACGAGATTCTTCCATTTAATAATTTGGTTAAAAAATGCAATAATGCTAAAAAAAAAAAAAAATGGAAAAAAAAAGTTACACCCAATACTGTAAGGTGTATACTGGCAGTTCATTTCACTAACATACAATAAAAAAAAAATATATATATATATATATATATATATATATATATATATATATATATATATATATATATATATATATATATATATATATATATATACACACACAAAAATACCACACACAAAATACACGAGAATCAAAGTGTTGAATATAATGTCATTTGATTGACTGTGAGCATGTAGTTGATCAGGTTTGTGCCTTTATTATTATTAACCCCACATTGAAGAGATGTTTTAAAAAACTGACCAAGGCCATATCAATAAAAATGAACACTCATGTTTTATGTAAATACAAAAGTCACTGAGCACTCCTGTTTTATGTAAATACAAAAGTCACTGAGCACTCCTGTTTTATGTAAATACAAAAGTCACTGAGCACACCTGTTTTATGTAAATACAAAAGTCACATGATTTGAAGTTACCAAGGCAATTAAATTCATGATCATGAATTTCTCGTGGAGAGATGTATTTGACAATGTGATTTTATTTTTCAGAGAAAAGGAATAATTGTTGTGCTTTTTTTATATGTTGATTTAACTCTGTAGTAATGTATCTGATGAAATACAGTGAAATATGACAGGCAATAAATTGTGCAAAAAATACTACACTCATGGGATCTTTCATCTGACTTTGTTTAACAATGTAGAGAACAGAAAGTATGAACCTCTGGTAACTCCACAGCCACTTCCTGGGAATCATTAGACAGCCTGAAATTGAACCTACACAGTTCACATCATGTGGCAAACAGTTCAACCACTCAGCAGCCTTAGAAAATAAAAAATAAACTGCCAGTATTTATTTTTTTCAGGATAGTCTAGAACCAGGCGTACTTGAACCATTCTTTTATCTTCTTCTTCTTCTTCACATTCACCTGCTATAACCTCCAGCATAGGGTTCTGTTTGATCATCCACTGCTGGACTTTAGCACTGTTCCAGAACCTGAGTGTTGCATGCACTTCCATTTTACAGATCTGGCTTATTTGTGTGCAGACTGTTGGTAACTTGCTTTTCAGGCAGATGCACTCCGACTTCTAAGAATGCCCTACCCCTTTCCACACCTAATTAGTTGACCCCTACAACATGCTTGCTGGAGGTAGTGGGTCCCTATTCTTGTTTTCCCCACAATGGGGCCCTTGAACCAACAAAGGGATTATCTTTTATCTGTCTTATTGTGCAGAGGGCAAAGCTGAGTTCTTATCTTGGACTCCATAGTGATGCTTGTTCCAACATTTCCAGAACTTTCCTACCACAAAGACATAGGCTCCGCTAGATCCGGGACAAGTTGGTGTCGTATACTGGCACTCGGTGTAGCCACTTCCTGTTGCATCCATGCTGATACAGTAGCCAATGCTAACATGCTTGCTACAGCCATGAGGATGTGACACAATCACTGTCAGACCATGGCTACTAGCATGATTGCTGTCAAGGTTACTGTCAAGTTTACTGCCAGGACTGCTTTCATGGTTACTGTCATTATTACTGTTATGGTTACTGCCATGAATGCTGTTATGGTTACTGATAAGGTTACTGGCAAGAGTACTGTCATGGGTACTGTCATGGTTACTGTCATGATTACTGCCAACCTGAGAGGGGGGACCGGATGGTGTTTTCTCACATTTGGAAGATGAAATGATAAACCCATGCTCCAGTTTCTGCTGAAGACCCTTCCAGTGACCAACCAGATCCCCGAGTTTGTCGATTATTGACAGGTTGTGTGTCACAAATATCATCTTACTTGTGTCTTTATTGTCATCACACAGCACTCTGGATGCCCTCTTAAGCTCCATGACTCCGTTATGTAACTCAGGCGAGCTTTCTTTATCAAAAAACAAAAAACAACTTGTATGTACCCCCTCCTGATCATCAAAGGTGACGTGAGCTGCAGAATGTACAGTCACATAAGCAAATTCTGTTTTTGGTGATGGAGAGCTCTTACATTCTTCACACGGACAGGTTTCTTTGCCACTGCTGCCCTCATTCGGAAACCTGACAATATCCTGTACCAGACCGGTTCCTGTCCGCTTCTTGTTTGTGCCCTTATATTCATAACCTGTGTAGGGTTTAGAGCTGAAAGGAAAAGTGGCGGGTCTGTCCATACTGGTGTAGCTAACTGAAACAAGTACAGTTAACGCAATCACTGCTTGGATACAGCCCATTACTTTCTTGTTTTGAAACCCAGGTGGAAGATTCTCCATCTGAAACTCAGGAGCAGGTATAAAGTCTGTATGACCTTTGTTCTTTCTACAAACCACATGTTTTTTAAGATTCACCTCATGCTCCTTATTCGATTCTGCCGGGCTCCAGCATTCTAGACAGAGTAAAAAATAATGTGATATTAAAAATTCAGCCAATCAACAATGTGATATTAAAAGTTCAACCAATAAACAATGTGATATTAAAAGTTCAACCAATCAACAATGTGATATTAAAAGTTGAACCAATCAACAATATGATATTAAAAGCTCAACCAATCAACAATGTGATATTAAAAGTCCAACCAATCAACAATGTGATATTAAAAGTTCAACCAATAAACAATGTGATATTAAAAGTTCAACCAATCAACAATGTGATATTAAAAGTTGAACCAATCAACAATATGATATTAAAAGCTCAACCAATCAACAATGTGATATTAAAAGTCCAACCAATCAACAATGTGATATTAAAAGTCTACCTAAACTGCAATGAAATATAAAAGATCCACCAGTCAATAATGTGATTTTAAAAGTCCACCTAAACTGCAGTGAAGCCCGGCTCTCTAGAATAGTTGGCTAAATCGGGTGACGAACTCCTTGTGGTCCAGGTTCACTCCCGGGGGTAGGCAGAAAAGTCACATTTTCTCCCAGATTTACGGTATTTACAATGGAATCGAGGCCAAAAGGTTGCGATATCCATAATTCCGAGCCTAAAGGTTAATAACTCATGGCTTCTGGATACTAAAACAAACAAACAAACTGCAGTGAAATATAAAAAGATCAACCAATCAACAATGTGATATTAAAAGTCCACCTAAACTGCAGTGAAATATAAAAAGATCAACCAATCAACAATGTGATTTTAAAAGTCCACCTAAACTGCAGTGAAATATAAAAAAATCAACCAATCAACAATGTGATTTTAAAAGTCCACCTAAACTGCAGTGAAATATAAAAAGATCAACCAATCAACAATGTGATTTTAAAATTTCATTGAAACTGCAATGAAATATAAAAAAGATCAACCAATAAACAATGTGATTTTAAAAGCCCACTGAAACTGCAATGAAATATAAAAAGATCAACAAATCAACAATGTGATATTAAAAGTCCACCTAAACTGCAGTGAAATATAAAAAAATCAACCAATCAACAATGTGATTTTAAAAGTCCACCTAAACTGCAGTGAAATATAAAAAGATCAACCAATCAACAATGTGATTTTAAAAGTCCACCTAAACTGCAGTGAAATATAAAAAAATCAACCAATCAACAATGTGATTTTAAAAGTCCACCTAAACTGCAGTGAAATATAAAAAGATCAACCAATCAACAATGTGATTTTAAAATTTCATTGAAACTGCAATGAAATATAAAAAAGATCAACCAATAAACAATGTGATTTTAAAAGCCCACTGAAACTGCAATGAAATATAAAAAGATCAACAAATCAACAATGTGATATTAAAAGACCACATAAATTAAAATGGGACATTTAAAATTCCAAGCAAGGTGTAATGTGACTTTCAAATATTATTCTTTTAGTCCCCATCTTTCTTTTTTTTTTAAATCTTCATTGCACTTTTTCCTCCTCTTTTACATTTATTAGTCCTATGTTTTTTATTAAATAACTTTACCAAAAAAAACAAAAAACAAAAACTCAACAAATAAATTATGTAATTAGCAAAATATAATTCTTCCTCACAAAAACATCATATCCAGAAAATTAAAAACTAACTACCAGAAGAGAAATTAATGGTACAATGAATTAACAACAGTCGACAAGGTGTGGAAAGATAATACAAGATGAGTCCTTTTTAGAGGCAAGCAGCCTGTGCTGCAGACACAAGTGGCATTGATAGAACCATCAGGAAGATTACATTTGTCACAAAGGAAAAAGCCAGACAACCAATAAAAACCTACGGCCACAACAATAAATAACCAATGCTTAAGGTAGAAGGGGGTTGGACATGGTCGAAAAGTTACCTTTTTCAGAAAATCAAAGCCCAAGTTCAGTGTGTTTACAGAAACTGAGGACTGTGGAGATTAGCATTTGAGAATAATATTGAGAATATCATGTACAGGTAAAGAATGTTAAGAATATCATGTACAAAGATCAATGTTGAGAATATCATGTACCCAGATCAATGTTGAGAATATCATGTACAAAGATCAATGTTGAGAATATCATGTACAAAGATCAATGTTGAGAATATCATGTACAAAGATCAATGTTGAGAATATCATGTACAAAGATCAATGTTGAGAATATCATGTACAGAGAAGAATGTTGAGAATATCATGTACAGAGAATAATGTTGAGAATATCATGTACAGAGAAGAATGCTGAGAATATCATGTACAGAGAAGAATGTTGGGAATATCATGTACAAAGATCAATGTTGAGAAAATCACGTACAGAGAAGAATGTTGCGAATATCATGTACAAAGATCAATGTTGAGAAAATCATGTACAGAGAATAATGTTGGGAATACCATATACAAAGATCAATGTTGAGAAAGTCATGTACAGAGAAGAATGTTGGGAATATCGTGTACTGAGAAGAATGTTGAGAAAATCATGTACAGAGAAGATTGTTGAGAAAATTATGTACATAGAAGAATGTTGAGAATTTCATGTACAGAGAAGAATGTTGAGAATATCATGTACAGAGAAGAATGCTGAGAATATCATGTACAGAGAAGAATGCTGAGAATATCATGTACAGAGAAGAATGTTGAGAATATCATGTATAGAGAAAAATGTTAAGAATATCATGTACAGAGAAGAATGCTGAGAATATCATGTACAGAGAAGAATGCTGAGAACATCATGTACAGAGAAGAATGTTAAGAATATCATATACAGAGAAGAATGTCTAGAATATCATGTACAGAAAATAATGTTAAGAATATCATTTTCAGAAAAAAATGTCTAGAATATCATAGGCTGAGAAGAAAATAAATGCAGAGGTACTGACATTCACAGTATAACAGTATGTAAATAATACCTTCTGTTGTTTTGTTTTCACATCTATTGTTGTCTAGATTTTTCTTGTCCTCTGCAGGTGCAAAAAAAAAAAACAATTACAAAATATAAGTTATTTAACGTATACTCTACTAAGTGAGAGATATTAGACACCATAGATTGATTTCAAGTAATCATTTAGTATGTAGTCATAGCCAGTATAATTAACAACAGACGGTTACTTGTGTAAAGTAGACTCATGAAAAAGAATAGGAACTGACCAACATTCCAAAATATGGAACATGCCTATACAGTTCAGATAAGAATGAACGTTAGGAGTGATCAAGTGTTAGATTTATTCTTTCATCATAGAATAACATCCACAATAAATACATAAAGTGAGGACACAACTGAAGTCTTCAAAATTTTGTTATAAAAAGGAATGCTAAGAATATCATGACAGGGAGGATGAAAATATCATGGCAGGAGATAAGAATATCATTGTAGGAGAAAACATTTCAGAAGTATTATAAAAACATGGGATTATTGTTGTTGATATTGCTGTTGGCACCTTTCTGACTGTCCAAGTGACAGTGTTATATTGTGTTATACAGAGGCAGGGAGCCACAACCCATGTGTTGGCTGATGTGGCTATCAACTTTGTTTCCAAAGACCAATTAAAGCCAGGAAAGAAGTTCATCCTCTTCGCCACCCAAAGCCTGGGCAGTATTGTAGAGACATTGTATTGCTCATGCAGTTTGATCCATTGCAAAAACACTTGGACTGAAAAAGGCATTACAAATAAAATCAGGGGCAGACAATTTGGGTACTTTGACCACTTAACTCTTTGAGTCCCAGGGGGTTTAGCATCAGAGGCCCATGTGATAGTCAAGAAAGTAGTAAAATCGGCGCATCTTGCGTTCATTGGGCTTCTGGATTGGAATCTATGAATGTATGATACATTACTTGAGACTCAAAGAGTTAATGAGACGCTGTTCGTTTTAGGAGGATGTGCTGGAGAGACAGGGGAAGGAAAATGTGCAAGAAGAAGACAATGTTACATACAGATGGATAACATAAAGAGGTGGACTTGAAGAAGAGAGCACCTGACATTAGAAAAGTTGGAGGAGAAAGAGGGGATGAGAAGTCCAACAGAATTAGGCAATGTAGCATTAAGGCAGAGAAAACACCTGTATGAGAAATGTTTGGCAGTACAAAAGACAGAAGACTGGACAGACACAATAAATTTTCTTATGGCATGGACTTGCTCTTCTTGCCTTCCTTTTTTACCCCTTTGGGTGTCGAAGGAGACATAAGGTTCTGCTTCCTGCTCTTCTGGCCACCTCAACCATAGAAACATTGTGCTGTTGAAGAGTTTCTCTGATTATCTTTCCATCTTGATGTTGGTCTATCTTGTCCTTCTCTTGTTGTGTAGGGTATGGCGTCTCAAGGCATTCTCTCTGGAGGGCTAAATATTCAATTTGCTGTCTTTGTCTTTGTCTTTGATTTAGATTTGGCTCTAAGCTGACTTTCTTCCCTTTGACCTCACTTATGATTTTATCTATTCTCATCACTTCTGTATTCCTCCTTGAACCTCTAATACCCATGGTTACTCATTTTTCTGTAGGGTTCGTTGTGAGTGACCAAAAGTTTGGAACTGGTAGCACTGGGTTGGAATTAATAAGTTTTGTTTTGTATGAGATGCTGCTTTGTGCTGATCTGGACTGACTTATGCCGTAATTCCTGGACTTGTCATCCTCACATATACTGTTGATATAGCTGATAGACAGCAGTGGTTATCAAACACATATAGGTGATAGACAGAAGTGGTGATGAGACACATATAGGTGATAGACAGAAGTGGTGATCAGACATATATTGATGATAGACAGCAGTGGTGATCAGACACATATAGCTGATAGACAGCAGTGGTGATCAGACACATATAGGTGATTGACAGCACTGGTGATCAGACACATATAGATGATAGACAGCAGTGGTGATCAGACACATATAGGTGATAAGACACATATATATGATAGACAGCAGTGGTAATCAGACACATATAGGTGATAGACAGCAGTGGTGATCAGACACATATAGGTGATAGACAGCAGTGGTGATCAGACACATATAGCTAATAGACAGCAGTGGTGATCAGACACATATAGCTGATAGACAGCAGTGGTGATCAGACACATATAGGTGATAAGACACATATATATGATAGACAGCAGTGGTAATCAGACACATATAGGTGATAGACAGCAGTGGTGATCAGACACATATAGGTGATAGACAGCAGTGGTGATCAGACACATATAGCTAATAGACAGCAGTGGTGATCAGACACATATAGCTGATAGACAGCAGTGGTGATCAGACACATATAGGTGATAGACAGCACTGGTGATCAGACACATATAGATGATAGACGGCACTGGTGATCAGACACATATAGGTGATAGACGGCACTGGTGATCAGACACATATAGATGATAGACAGCACTGGTGATCAGACACATATAGATGATAGACAGCAGTGGTGATCAGACACACATAGCTGATAGACAGCAGTGGTGATCAGACACATATAGATGATAGACAGCACTGGTGATCAGACACATATAAGTGATAGACAGCACTGTTGATCAGACACATATAGATGATAGACAGCACTGGTGATCAGACACATATAGATGATAGACAGCAGTGGTGATCAGACACATATAGATGATAGGCAGCAGTGGTGATCAGACACATATAGCTAATAGACAGCAGTGGTGATCAGACACATATAGATGATAGACAGCAGTGGTGATCAGACACATATAGATCATAGACAGCAGTAGTGATCAGACACATATAGGTGATCAGAGACATCTCTGTCTTACTCCAGATGTTACTATGGCATCTACTATGAGGAGACAAACTGAATAATTATACTATAAAGTAAATTCAACAACATACCTGTGTGTTTGTGGTTGAAAGGAGTAAAACCGATTCCTTGGCTACTGAAATTTACTTCTGACTCATAATGTCCACTGTGGGTGTGTTCAAACCCAAACAAACGCCAGTCCTCCTCAATCACCTGGACAGGAGCTCCACATGACCCCGGGCAGGCTACTGCAGCATCAATGTGACTATGGCTATGTGCCTCTGTTCCATTCACGTATTCGTGCTGAACAATGCTCACCCGTTTGTCACATTCATTTGAGTGGGATATCGTGATATTCAATTGGCCTTGTCGAGTGACTTCAGTATTGTTTCCTTTTTTATCATCACACATGGAGAGAAGACTTTCTGCCACCAAAATATCCTTCAGGTTATCTTTACAAGTTACAAGTTTCTGAATCCTATCCACAAAACCCATGTCATGGGTCACATAGGTCATCATACACCAGTCACAGTGAGCGCTACTGGTCACGTACCGCATGTTGGAAAACTCAATACCATTTCCACATACACTTGAATCTCCATCATTGTCTATAAAGATCTTGCAAGTGGCTGCACTCGCTTCTTCTTTATTGAAAACAAGATGAGTGGCTGTTCGAATAGCAATGTGTGCAAACTGTCTTTTTCGCATTAGAATTGGGAGGTGCCAACATTCGGCACATTCGCAAGTTGTAAATTCTGGAAAATGTTCATCAGGAAATATGTGTACACCAGACACAAACCCAGTTCCTTTTCGTTTCGTTTTGCTGCCCCTGATGTCATGACACGGGTAGTGTTTGTCACTGCCAGGACTTTTTTCAGGTCTCATTTCACTAACACAGTTGACCAAAACAGAGACAAGGAGATTAGCAAAAGCCCGGATATAACTAATCAGGTGAGGGCTTTGGTACCCGGAAGGCAAGTGATATAAACAGAGTTTCTGCACAGGGATAAACTCGGAGTCGTCTGGATGTTTCTCACAGTAGTAGCCATGATGATCCGTTTCCTGTCTGTGCTTGTCTGTGTCCTGATCCGTTTCCTGTCTGTGCTTGTCTGTGTCTTGTGTGGAACCTAGCAGAAACAAATATAAATTTTCTTACAGTGTAAACAGGTGTCCTTCAACCGGTGGGCTTGTAGGCTGCAAAAAAAGTCCAGATGGATCATACAAATATTCTGCCATCATATAATGGGCTAGGGTAAGGGTTAGTATTAGGGTTAGGGCTAGGGTAAGGGTTAGTATTAGGGTAAGGGTTAGGATAAAGGTTAGTATTAGGGTTAGGGTAAGGGTTAGTATTAGGGTTAGGGTAAGGGTTAGTATTAGGGTTAGGGTAAGTATTAGGGTTAGGGTAAGTATTAGGGTTAGGGTAAGTATTAGGGTAAGGGTAAGTATTAGGGTTAGGGTAAGGGTAAGTATTAGGGTTAGGGTAAGGGTTAGTATTAGGGTTAGGGTTAGGGTAAGGGTTAGTATAAGGGTTAGGGTAAGGGTTAGTATTAGGGCTAGGGTAAGGGTTAGTATTAGGGTTAGGGTAAGTATTAGGGTTATTATTAGGGTTAGTATTAGGGTTAGGGTTAGGGTAAGGGTTAGTATTAGGGTAAGGGTTAGTATTAGGGTTAGGGTAAGGGTTAGGGTTAGGGTTAGTATTAGGGTTAGGGTAAGGGATAGTATTAGGGTTAGGGTAAGGGTTAGTATTAGGGTAAGAGTTAGTATTAGGGTTAGGGTAAGGGTTAGTATTAGGGTTAGGGTAAGGGTTAGTATTAGGGTAAGAGTTAGTAATAGGGTTAGGGTAAGGGTTAGTATTAGGGTTAGGGTAAGAGTTAGTATTAGGTTTAGGGTAATGGTTAGTATTAGGGTTAGGGTAAGGGTTAGTATTAGGGTAATGGTTAGTATTAGGGTAAGGGTAAGGGTAAGGGTTAGTATTAGGGTAAGAGTTAGTATTAGGGTTAGGGTAAGGGTTGGGGTTAGGGTAAGGGTTATGGTTAGGGTAAGGGTTAGTATTAGGGTTAGGGTAAGGGTTAGTATTAGGGTTAGGGTAAGGGTTGGGGTTAGGGTAAGGGTTATGGTTAGGGTAAGGGTTAGTATTAGGGTTAGGGTAAGGGTTAGTATTAGGATTAGGGTAAGGGTTAGGGTAGATAGTTTTACTCTTCCAGGACTGCAGTTTCTAGGATTAACATCTCAAGCTCTAGAATATAAAAGATGCCCAATCAGCTGATCAATGTTATTGTAAGTCATCAAATTTAACTTGCAATCTACATCTGTTTTTGGTTCTGTTTGGTTAGCTGTTGGGTGGGCCACGAAGGAAGTTCCTCTGTTTTGGTGGACCGCAGAGGTAAAAAGGTTGAGGAAAAATACTGTAAACAATCTGTTTAATGAACAGTGAGAAAAAGTAAGTTACAGGACATTGCCAACAAACTCCAACATTTGCTGGCTGTTCATGGATTTATTGGGTAACTTCGTGTTCAGTAGTTTTCCACTCCAGCTAAACAGTTGATGCTCCGTACCAGTTGTTATGACTTAATAACTGAAAAAATCACATCTCGGGAGATTCCCATAAGTGCTCTATCCCCATCTTTAGCAGCAAGCACAGATCCATACCAATGTCAAAATCAATGCAAAGTGGTTTGCTGTCAAATAGCCCACAACTGAATCAAACATGGGATCTCAGAATTCTGGAACTGCTTCAGAACCCCCAAAACATGTGGAATGTTGAATTAAGAATAGACATCGTAGCACTTGGGACACCCCCATAAGCGATCCGTCCCGATCTTCAGCAGCAAAACGAAGAGTTCCAATTCTGATGGCACCAGTAACTGTCTGATTGTACATCTGTCTTGCCCTTCCCTTGAGTGTTGAGCGTCGGCCAGATCAAACCCCAAGACATAAATTCCACCAAGAACAACCAGCATCATAACTGGCCAGCTTTAGTATTGGTTTTTTTGTGTGTGATGAGAGCAATTAGTAACCATGGAGATGCAGATACAATGCATATACCAAAAAAGGAGAAGAACGTAGAGCATAAGGTAGACCAAGAACATGATGGAAAAATAACATCAGAGAAACTCTACAAAAGTACGATGTGTCTATGGTTGAGGTGATCCAAACACCATGAAGCAGAACGTTATATCTCTTTCGACACCCAAAGCGGTAAAAGAGAACAGGAAGAAATAAGTATGAATAATAACAAATGATAAAAAAAAGCCTTATGCTTAACAGTAGGATGTAACCCGGGCTTACAAAACACACACACATACATGCAAACACTTATTTACACCCACCTGTGTGGGGGTTTGTATCCATTATGTGCAGCTGTTCACTTAGATTACCAGTTATTTCTGTGAAGACTAGACTACCGCAATGTATGATCTGTAGATTACCACACACACAAAAAACGTAAAACAGCAATTTTAATATTATGCTTATAACTACACTGGATACAATCCCTGCATTCTTGAAGTTTGTAAAATGAGAATTACACCACCTAGCCTTTTTGGTTTTGTGAAGACAGCAACAACAACACACAAATAAACTGATAAATACGATATTTGTACATCTTTGTGCTTTCAATGTCACACACAGATAGTCCTAGGAAAACATAAACGCAAAATTACAACACGTGATGTGAGATGTATAAGAAATGCGATAGGAAGAACAAGAAGCGACAGAGTTATCAATGAGACTGTCAGGCTACTCCAGTCTGGTGTAGCCAAGAGGTTGAATTGGGTATCTGAGATCTGCCCCGTTGGTCTGAGAACTGTTACTGTGTGTGTGTTATAACCTTCATATATAAGTCTAGTGAAGTTGTCAGCCTGACCATAATCTAGGATATGACTTACAAGTCTGGAAGGTCAGTGACCCCTCTTGTCCTCTCTTCTTGCAGGATAAAAACTACGAGGATAAATAACTATTATAGTAAGAGTATTCTCCGTGCGGGTTCCAGGACCCGATCATGGGGGAAACAAGAATAGACCCACTGCGTCCCCAACAAGCATGTCATAAAAGTCGACTAATTGGGGCCTCATTCAAGGTCGGAGTGCATCTGCCTGAGAGGCAAGGAACCAATAATCTGCATACCAATAAGTCAGATCTGTAAAACGGATGTGCATGCAACACTTAGGTTCTGGAATGAGACTAAAGTTCAGAAGTGGATGAACAACCAAAACTTTCTACTAGAGTTTACAGCCAGTGAACACAAATAAGAAGATGAAGGCCAAATGCACAGTAAATCCATTATTTCATTGACTTAATGTTAGCAAGATTATCTCAGTATTCATATAACAATTTCTAGCCTAATTAATCACAACCCAAATCACAGCAAGATGTGAAACAATACAAATTACTTATTTTGTCTTAAGTATATAATTACACAATGTATAAAATAACAAATATAGACTGAGAACTTTATGAACACTACATATCCCAATTATATCCCTGGGAGCTGAACAAGATATTTTTGAAAAACTACTACTACTACTACTTGCAGGACAATTTGTTGTTTCCTTACATGACATCTTCCTTAGATGACATCTTCAGATATACTAACCCTGCAAAAATACAGGCCTGGTTATTTTTGTGTGAATATGCACTGTAAAGTGTTTTGCTCCCCACTGTTGTTTTTTTTTTTTTTTTTTGGTCTACAACCGAAAAATGTTAACAGTTCTGAAATCACAGGACGTAGGCTGCAGTCTCTGGTGGGAGGCTGTGTGTATGTGTGCGAGTGGGGGGGGGGGGGGCTAGGGTTAGTTCTAGATCTTCTGGGGTCAGTAAAAGTTGTCACATCGTGTAATATAGAGCATGCTGTCGAAGACAATACAACCTGACACCCCTGTAACTGAGAGTCGCTTATATGAACTAAATGCAAAAATGAATGAATGGTCAATCACGGCGTGTATGGGTTGGAAAACGTCACTTTAACCGTTTAAATTTAAAAAAGACAAATCATAAACAAAAACATTTATATAAAAATCATAAACGATTACTTGAATTTATTACATTACATAAAAACAATGAATTATTGTCATGAGAAAATGGTGCCAGTTCTCGCCACAAAATGTCATTAAAAAATTGCCCGTACTGATCAGGAAGTGTCTTATCACAGTACTACTGACTACTGTGTGTTGCTTAAAAGGGTCGATGCTGCGTCCACCCCCCCCCCCCCCCCCCACCTCACCCTCTTTTTTTTCCCTTTCCAATCCCACAAAGCCCTACATTTTAGTCAGGTTCAAAGTCAGAAATACACTACATCGTGAACATGATTATAGTAGGTATAATTATAATTACTATAAGGTCAATGACGACGTGAACAATAAAAAAAGATAAGATGATGTAAACAAGAGAATGACTGACCTCTTCCCTATCCTCCTGGCCGTGCATGATAATGTCTCACTGGAAACATCTTGCTTGTCAAAACTCGGGTACAAAATGCGGGACTGTTAGTGAGTGATTCAAGGATACATGTATCCTGCTGATAAATATAGCAGACGTGATTTCCCCCAGTTTCCCAGGGAAATGGGCCAGCTAGGATGCGCAGTTTTCTAGTGCGTTATTCCGGGGTCGGAGTGGATGATGCAATGTCCTCATAAGACTGCGGGTTATACTTGGCCGGTGTTGCCGTTACGGATGCTCTAATTATACTTCTCCGGAGGCTGAACAGGATGTCCTGGGTCTGCTTGGTTGGTCTGCCGTTTGACTGAGATTTTGTCATCTCAAGATGGTATGGCAAACTTCTACTAGAGCAGATAGCAGCCTAGAACTACCTTCGCCAAAATTTTTACACGCGCGGCCCACATGACAGTTAACCAAACACAGAAACAAACACAAGGTTTTGAGGTTTTGATCAACGGATCAATATCATGTAACCCATAAGTGCTCCGGTCTTTTTTTCTAACTCTTTTTTCAAGACTCAAGTCTTGAGTCCAAAAAGCTCAGCAGTGTACAGGCTTTGTAGCACCAGTGAGGATCCTTAAATACGTTTGGTAGATTTTAAACTCACAATTTTGCCCCAACTGCCAAGGAACTGTGTACGTGTGCAGCAATATACATGGGCGTCCGATCTCATTACCCAGAGACCAGGGGAAATTACTAAAAAGAAGTCCAGGTGAAAAAACTCTCAGCTTTTACCGGGCCCTGAACCCCGGATCTTCAGCACTTGAAGCAGATGCCATGCCTGGAGACCATTCAGCCCCCCCCCCCCCAACCCCCTCCACCCTGTTGAAGAACACTGGCATAGCGAACACATGCCTATCAGTCAAGAGTCGCGACCTTCTCCTTTTGGTCTAACGGACCTGACCTGTCTCGAGGTGTTGGTTGTTTTTTAAATAAAATTATAAAACCATGTATAAACAGTACCAGTTTAGCACACTTCGTGTGTGTGTGTGTGAGCATTTCTGTGCTAGTACAGTGAAAACGAAGCTCATTGAAGAATTATAAATGCGAGAGGGGGAAAAATGCAAAGACGTTCACACAAGTGGCAAGCAGGGATCCAAACAGATGAGGTCACCCACTAAAATTACCATCAAAGTCTGGGTCCGTCTGGGAGTCAAAGTTATTTATAAACATACGCCTTAATCTCGAGACGGCCTTGGTCTAGGTGTGGATCTGAACCCTAGACATTTGAGCGGACAGACGAGCGTCCAGCCACTATGCCACTGAGCTCCCAGTCAACATAGTAACCATCCCATAACTCTGTGGTAGACATAATATTAATGTGTATACGTTATATGTTTAAATCACATAAATAGACCTATTTAAAGGTACCAGGGATCACTTCAAAAGATGCCCAGACGGAGACACAACAGAGAACCATGGCTTTAGCTATGCTTGATGAGAAGTATCCAAACACCACTTGGACTCGGGTTTTCAGCCCCTGTTTGTTGTTGTGTGGTTTCTCTAGGCAAATTTACCTCCAGTAGTTTGCCATGGCTTCTGGACGATCGGCTCTCTGATACCACTGTCAAAACCAACGCAAGGCGCATAGCCCGCAGCTGGGATCGAACCCGGCACCCCAGCATTACGAAGCGTTCGTATCGACTTAGCCACAGAGCCGACACAACAACAACAACAACAACTACTACTACTACTACTACTACTACTACTACTAACACAACTACAACAACAACAACTACTACTACTGCTACCACTGCTGCTGCTGCTATGGTGTAAACGACACTTGACAGACCTGCAACAGAGAAAAGAATACAACTACTTACAACCCGATACAAGATTCAAACGTAGTATACATCTCATGAAGGTTAAGGCACAACAAGACAGGCAAAGTTCCAAAAATAGCCTTGGACATAAGAACAGGACTTTCCGCCAGATGGCCACTCTGTCGCAGACGAAGCTCACATTACAAATGTCACAGACGATATTCCCGATGAAATGTTTATTGTAGAAGTACATCCAAAATAGAGAAGTACTTTAATATTGCGTCAAGTAGCCCCCCCCCCCCCCCCTCTTTTTCTCAGAATGCTACAGATGTACAACGCAGTATCGTCGGCAATTTTTAGTATGTTTCACATGTGCCCCCCTCATCCTTTCTCGTTTAGAATATGTCCCCCTCATCCTTTCCGGTTAAGAAAATGCCCGCCATCTGCCCCCCCCCCCCCCAAAAAAAAAAAAACGTTGATAATTTTCCTTTTTTAAGTATTAGAAATTCATTATTATTGTTGTGCACTTGAGCGACTGAGCCCCAACTACTGGAAATATGTAGGGAGCTCAGTCTGCACTCCTGTGTTTTCTGTGTGTCGGCCCTCTGTTCAGACGTTTTTGTTACGTCACGAACTATTTTGATAGCAAGCTGAATGTTCTAGTAATACCATGATTACTCAACAGGATGTGAATATTGGAGGGGATTGGCTCGTTAGCACTATCGTTTCTAGAACACTGAAATACTTCAACCATCTTCTTCTTCTTCTTTTTCTTCTTCATCAGCATTTCGGGCCCTGGAGGTTCATTGCTACAGATATCAACCCCCTCCCCTCGTCTCTCTGGTTGGCCCTCTCTTTCCAGTTGATGAATACAAATGTCTGCAGGTCTATCTGGACATTATCTCTCCGTGGTCTTCTTGGTCCGCCTCGTGGTCTACTCCTATACAAGTCTTGAGTGTATTCAGTTTTTGTTTTTCTTTTATTTGTCATTCTCTCTATATGTCCCAACCACTGCAATTTGGTACCCCTGCTAGTAATTAAATGTTAAAAATTGAATTAAGAATCGACATCACAGCGCTCGGGACACTCCCATAAGCGCTCTGTCCACATCTTCAGCAGCAAGTGAAGAGTTCCAATTCCGATGGCACCAGTAACTGCCAGTAATTAGGGGTGATTTAAGTAGATTATGAATTTCGTTGTAACCTCCCACTCCATTCTCTGCTGTTTGCATTCTTTTATGATTTGTTGTAGATTGTTCTCAAAAGTTCGACTACAAATGTGTTCGAGGGTTTGGTAAAAACGTTAATGGAGGGTGTATTTTCCTGGGAGAAAAGCCATGGCGACGATCAGCAGGACCGGAGACTCAGGATGTCAAGGACACCCCGAAGTTGAAAGTTCACGAGTCGGGACATTTGACAAAGGATCGACCGAGAAGCTTTCCGGTGCGCCGTGATACGAGCGACGCTCTGTGAAGAACCTGCAACATGATAATATATATGTGAACAGAAGCGACACACACGACTCCATGACACGTGTTAAATGTTACCCAACTTGGTCTCTTTACGTGCAGTGCTAGTCATCTGCCGTGAATGATGCACAAAGCATGAACGCTGAATATCTCTAAAGACCTTCCGACAGAGAAGAAACCTGCATTCGCTAACTAAATGACGCAGTGCCATAACTAAATCGGTTTTGGTTTTGAGTCCACATCTGGACTTTCGTCTTGTTTCAGGACTAAAGTTAATGCTGAGTGCACATCCTTCTGGCTAAGTTGTATCGCAAGGTTTTTAAGTTCGCAATTATCTTGTCTAGCACCTTGACAAAAGTTCTTTATAGGGTGATAATCCTGAAACCGCTAAGTCTGGAATGATCTTTGCCAGGTTTTGTCAGTGAGATTAGGTAGCTGTATACCCAGTTCTTGGGTACTGACGATGTTCTGTTGAAGTGAAATGGCATCTCCCTCAAGTCTTCATCACTCATGCTCTTCATATGGGCATACCAGACTCCGTCTGGCCCCGGCACAGTGTCTTTTGCTTGTTGCAATACATATTTTCTAAATCATGAAACATTGTAAACTTTGCAATAATATACCAGGCAGGAAACGGCCAAATATGCCAGACAATAAATTGTACAATTGACTATGTACGCCTTCCTGTGTGGATTCCAGAGCCTATTTTGGGGGAAGAAAGAATGGACCCCCATGAATGCTGTAAAAGGTGAACAATTAGGGATGCTGAAATCAGATGTGTTGTGCCAAAAGATGCAGATATCACAACCTAAATGTAAACCACAACACAGCGTGCCAGCCGCCATTTTTATCATGAGCATAGAGGAAGAATTGTTAATGTTCGTTTTATTTAAAATGTTTGCTTTATTTTGTCAGACCAGACTTTGTGTCCTCACCAGTGATGAGTGGACAGAGCAGATATCGTCAAGACTGTATGAGACTGGGCTAGTGAATAATGACGAATCTCTGACACTAACATGATTGTGTGGCATGGGAGTAAAGTATGGTGAAGCATGTCTATGCTGCCTTCGAAGCCAAGATGGGAACAATTAGTGGTAGTGCTTTGGAGTGGCTGCTGCGTCGCATGAGAATGCCCAGTGTGCAGTGACGTTGATTGTGATAACATAACACAATCTCTGATGAATGTTTTATCTTGGTCTTGAACAGTGTGTCCTCCTGGCTTCTTCGGCCGTGGCTGTCAAGAGGTCTGCGTCTGCAAAGATGGCTGTCTGTGCGACCCTGTCACCGGAAGTTGTAACATCACCATGGCTGAGCCTGACTTTCTTACAGGTAAATGGAAACAGTTTTTTCTTAACTGCCACTGTGTCGTAGTGGCTTGACGCTCACCTCCGGATCCAAAGGTTATGGGTTCAAGTCCTGATGGAGCCGGACTTTTTTTTTTTCAGAAATGACCTTGGCTTCCAGGTTGACCCAGCCTTAATGGGTACGAGGTAAATTCATGGGAAGTAAAGGCAGTTGGTCTGATGTTAACCACATTACCCACCGAGTGCAGATTTGTTTATAAATATACTCAGCATGTCTGAAGGTGTTGTAAAGGGTTTGTTAACTGGCAGCTTTGTAATTTGTCCTGTTGCACAATCTCCTCCTCGACTTTTTTATGTGTTTGCCCTCAAGACTGTGCTTGTTAGGTTGTTTCATGATTGAAAGCTAGGCTGTGATATCTCTGCTTTTGGGACAAACATATCCAATTTCAGCAA